TGACTGCCTCAGGAAGCATGGATAGTGCTTTGACAGGCCCTCCAATGGCTCAAGTTCCTCCACAGCAATTCCCCTATCCACCTAATTATGGTACTAGTACTAACATGAGGTTTTTTTTGTCTGTCTGGTTTTCTTTTCCCTTTCTTCCTTTACTATTAATCCAAACTACCTAAATACTGATCATTCTGAAAAAATGGAAAATACTTCTACAAAAAAGGATGACTTTTTCCTTTCCTATCATTGCAAGAAGATAAACTAAAAAGTACTAGGTGATGATAACTGAACTATATTGTCTGTTCTTTGTCTTTTAAGGATTAAGCCAACAACCTGATCCTGCATTTAGCAGAGTATCAAGCCCTCCCAACCCAATGATGTCATCAAGAATTGGACCCTCCCAGAATCCTATGATGCAGCATCCTCAGACAGCAACAATGTACCAGTCCCCTGAGATGAAGGGCTGGCCGTCGGGAAGCATGGCCAGGAGCAGGTGAACTTCACAGTTATAACTTGTAGCTCAAAAAATTGTCTTCGAATTTGCTGAAATTAGAACCTATGTTAAATAGCTTGTAGTGGGAAAAGGATTTAGAAGAGGTAAAACCAGTTATATCTCCAGTGTCTGTATTAGCCTTGATCCTGCTCTGGTTTAGGAAACAGACTGATTAAATGTATCTTATGCTTAGCTCCACTTATTAGTATTGAATCTCTCCAGTCTTTCTAACTGGAAGCAATGTTCAGTCTTTGAATACTGAAAAAATTACTTGAAGGAAATACAGAAGTTCAGAATAGGATTACAATGGATGGCACAGCCCTAACAGAAGCCTCCAAAAAGGTTACAATAGGAAATGCATATACATACTTCTGTGTGTATCTAGAAATTAAAAATTCCTTTTGGGAGGGAAACTTCTGTTTCGATGTTAAACAGATATTGGGTAGAAAAAAGTAAATGCAAAAATAGTTTTATCTTACATGAGTTGACAGCTGCTTCAGGGAAGGCAATATATCAATGTGTAAACTTCTTGGAAGGTAATTTTATTTGTCCTTTTGTACTTCAGTTCTTTCCCACAGCAGCAGTTCAGCCATCAAGGGAATCCAGCAGCATACAGTATGATGCACATGAATGGCAGCAGTGGCCATATTGGACAGATGAATATCAATACCATGCCTATGTCAGGGATGCCTATGGGTCCAGACCAGGTAAATTGTACATGAAGATTGATGAAAAGATCTGTTGATGCTGTTTCACATTGAGTGCAATTTGCTTCAAGCCATTCCTCTGGCACAATCCTGTTCTCAGTTATCCTGTTTGTATTTACATCTGTGGACCCGCCACTTCTATGTCCCAAGAGAGACCTTATATTTTTATGCTATTTAAATCAAATCCATGATGAACCCAAGCCTGTATGCTGTGATTAGCTGTTGACTTTGAAGAATCGTAGGTAGGATCAAGGCTTAAACTGCACAAAGGATGCTTAAATACTTCAGAGCCTAGAGAAACCCCAGAGAGTAAAACACAGATTGTGGAAAGCATCTTCAGCAGATGTAAAAGATTATATATGTGGCTCCCATGAGCCAGACCAAGAATCCTGGTAGTACAGTATCCTGGCAGAAGCTGATGATGATAACTTACCCTTGTACTACCTTAGAATGACTTGTGTTTGCCTAGCAAGAAACTATGGAAAATTTAGGCCCATAATTTAAAGCCAAAATGAGCTAATAACGGCAAAGAAGGCTGAAATATTAAATATATTTTTGCTGTAATCTTTTCACAAAATACAAGGGATGAGCAACATACGTAATATTGAGATAAGGTAAATTTATTCAAGTAGAAAGTACCTCATGAAATTTTGTCTGAGGTACCTAAGGAAGCAACCAAAATAATCTGAGGAGTTCCAGGGAATAAGTAAGGTATTAGAGGACCTGGATATAACAAGTACCTTTTATATTAGAGAGGAAAATGAAGGTGAAATGTCAGATTTTCCAAACCCACGTGTCATACAGTGAAGATATCCAAGTAACGTGTTTAAGAAATTCTGGTACAGCATTTCTTTTCTACAAATTTATCTTCAAAGCAGAGCACTAAAATGCTGTTGTTATGCTTAGAAATTGGCAGTCAGTATTTTCCTCTTCAAAATGCAGTATGTTAACTAGTTTTTTCAGCAAAGATGTTTTTTATTTTTCTCTTTAACAGAAATACTGCTGACACCTAGATCTGTATCTTCAAACAAGAATACGCTGTATTAATGATGCACTAGTGTTATAAAGGAAAGCTACACATTCTTCATGGCAACTAGTACTGGCCTTACAGAAAGAAGTGATTTTTCCTGTTAATCACCATGATGTCCCAAGTTACTTCAGAGGAGAAAATAAACAATCAAAACAAACCCCAACCCAATAACATTTTAGTAGAAGCAGTCTCTGTATTACTGTATATTGTGGTGTACAAAAAAGGTCATAAATATTTTTAGCACTCTGCCTCTAGAAATGTGAATTTGGCAATGGCATTTTAGTAGATACATGATGGGTAGACTCCTGGCATACCTTATCTATTTACTGTAGCTATCCAAAGCCCTTTAACTACAGGCAGACAAAAGTGCCTGGAGAAGTCATGGTGGTAAGAATTTTCTGATTTCTCTAGTAACAATATCTGACAGAGAATGTAGTTCCTAGCCTTGACTCTTTTATATTAATTCCTGAATATAAATGCTGCTTTTAATCTCTTATCCCCAGGAGTCAGGATTTCCCAAGCAAAGTAGCAGTGCAAAATGAATTGGCACATACTAGTCCAAAATCCTGTCCGTTGAAGCCAAGGGGTAAAAAGAGAGGTTAATAAATTTAAATTATTTAAACACAATTGTGACTAATATTTACATATTGATGTGCAGCTGAGTGCACTTTATAAAAGACTATATAATGGATTAATGCAATATCTTTGATAAGGACTTAATATGAAGGTAGGGTGTACTCATGTTCCTTCTCAAACACAATCGTAAGAATTATTGGAAAAGACTGCATAATGTAATGTTTTCTGTGTATGGAAATTAGAGCAATAATCTTTCATCTTTTAGAAAATAACTTCAGAAAACTCAAGGCAAGGCACTGCAGTCTGAATCAGAATTTTGCAGTCTTTTTGTGAATAAATTTTGTAAATATGATCTTTAAGATAATGTATTATATATATGACTTTTGTAGGTCACTAACTCATTTTTGCAGAGTTTGTGAAGCTAAATATTTAACAAAATTGATTTCTGTAAACTCAGTGTAGTTGAGGTCCAAATAGATTTTTTTTTTTTTTAATTAAATTTAATGACTTTGAAGCTGGGTGACTTTGGCCCACATCTTTCTCTTCTTTGGTCTTCAACACTTCATTTATTTTTACATCTTTAACATATAGCTTTTTATAAAAGACCAGTTGTTAAATGCTTTCTCCACCTGTGAGCACTTTGTTATGTTTCTTTTTACATAAGACAATTTGATAAAAAGGCTCTGCATTGTAAGATGTTATGACTTGTCATGACGGTCGTGTATTTCTATAATATGTTGCCTTTTCAGTTGATGAATCTGGATTGTGTCTTTTTTGGTCAATTTTAATGAACTCTAAATGTTCTTCAAAAAAGTTTGTCTGTTGCAAAATATTTGTTGTTACATGACATCCAGAAATCTTTAAGGATATTAAGCCACACTTTAACCAAATGTCTGCACCTCATTGGATTCTTCTAATAGTAATGAATGTATTTTCTAAGCAGGTTTCTCTTATATCAGTATTTAAGTCTGGTTACAAATTTATTCCTATTATTTGCTAATAGTTGTTGTTCCCCCTCACCCCCCCTTTTCATTCCTTGAAATGAAGATCCCTTTGCAGTTTTTTCAGTTTCAGGCAGTTACAACGAGTCAAACCTCTAAACTTCCATAAGGGGTGACCCAGAAATGTTTAAGATGAGTGGTGCTTTTGTTCAGTTGTTCACTGTGTAATGGAAAACTGACTTCTGCCAAGTGAGTAAACAAAAAAATAATCTGTGTTTTGGATTGCTGCTTCTTGGTACAGTAAACAAGAGGTGGTTTTATTGTTCAGGATATTCAGTGATCTTCCATTTTAATAGAAATAACTTTAGAAATATTCTCAAAGTTCGTTGTTAGTATACAGCCAACTGTGTTCCAAAGGGAATGTAGATTCACTTGATCTACTTTATGCAACCCTGCCTCCACGATTAGTACTGAGTATATGGATTAGGGGCTAGTATTTATTTCAGTCCAATTCATGTGTGTTTTTTAATGTAAAACTTTTAAAAGCCTAAAGAACTTTTATCTTTTTTCTTAGAACATATCTGTTTGTTGAGTAAGTGCTGCCTACTGAAATTGGCAACAATCCCTTGCTTTTTATCAAATCAGAGTAGAACAATCTTTATATTTTGTAGTTGTTCATTATATTGATGGAAACTACAAACCCTGATTGCTTTCATTAGATGAGCTCTTAGTATATACTTTATATATCAAGCCCTCTTTCATTTTTTAAAAATGAGTGATTCTCTTTATACATCTATGTTTAACTGATACATGACTGATGTTCTAAAGAATCATCATTTTCTCATCTGTGTTTAGAACATTGGAGCTTTCCAGTACCTACTTTTTGGCTGAATCCAAAGATTTTTAGTTTAAACTTGATTAAGGGGGGGGAGGGGGACATTTTAAAAATGCATTGATAACATCTTTCATGGCAGCACTGATCCCAAATACTACATCTAGTTTGAAATCTTACTGCAGTAAATAAAACTGACCTTGTAATCTGTTGACATTTAGTATCTCCACCAATTCTGTTCTGGTTCTATAGCAGCAGATTTTTCTGAATGTTTTGAGAAAACCACTTCTGTAAGAGAACAGTTAGCTGGTACAACCACCTCTGATCACTGCTGCATGAGTGCAGTTTTACTACGTCTCTGTTTCTCTCTTGATCACAGAAACCATGTTTTTCTAAAAATGATATGTAGTATTTTTTTTCCAATCTTGGCCTAAAATACTGCTTTTAAAGTTAGAAAATCAGGACCATTTTTCAGTCATAAGGCAAAAACTATTTGAATGTTGTACCAGTTAGCACACATTTTATTTTAGAATTTATGTGCAGGCTACCCAATGACAGAATGATACAGCGAATATGAAACCATGTAATTCTGAGAGCAATATTTAAAAAAATTCTCAGGAGAAGGCATACAGTATTGAGAATTGCATTTAAGTTTAGTTTACATTATAAGTATTGCTTGAAATATCTGTATCTTTATTTTGCAAAACAGAAGAATCATGGGACTGATTTATAAAAGAGTTGGTTGTAAGGTATTACTGCTCTTCTGATTTTTGTGTTTGGATGTTAATAATAATGTAAATAAAGGTTTCTATTTAAAAATAGAATGTGATGACAAGTGTATTAGCTGTCTGATACTTTAAGGCTGATAACTCTATCCTGGAAAGGTCAGAGAAAATTCAGTGCCATTAGTGAGGAAAGCTAGGTATAGAAAAAGATTTAAATTTTTTCCTAGTCAGCAGTAAAAGCTAAGGGAGTCTACCTATGAGACCCATTTAGCAACTAAAGCTGCACTGACACTGAGTGGAATTTATGTCTGTTTCAACTTCAATATCACTCTTTAGCAGAGCTGAAAGGAGAAGAGGTGGTAGCTTTCCCCACAGCATGGCAACCATGTACCTGTCATAAAATAACAGCTGCTGCTTGTGTCACATACAAGTCCCAGAGCCCAGTATTTTGTATAAAGGGACATGGTAACTTTTCAAGCTTCTGACTGCTAACAGGAGCAGTACTGCTGGCCACTCAGGATTTTGGTAGTCATGCCCTCATCTTGTCAAAGACTACAGGCTGAACACACAAAAAAAGGTAAGTGCATGCCAGCTTGTTTAATCTAATCTAGTATTCTTTCTGCATACTCACTGGGAAGGGTAGACAGCTAACACTTTTTCTCTGAAAAGCAGCAAAAATGTGTTTCTATTGGTGAGTTTAAATTTAGTATTTTTTACCTATTTGTATTGATCCAGATCTCATCTAGCAGACGCTTCTGAAATCTATGGCTAGATTAAGACAGACAATCATATATTATTTCTGTAATTAAAAAAACCTTGCAAGAAAATTGAGAAGTGTATTTGACTTACTCGTGTGATACAAATACAAGCTCAAGCCTAGTTTTACTATATAGCACATATATGAAAGACCCCTCTGCCATTTTCTGAGCAGGCTATTTCTTTTTTTTTTTTCTCAGTTCCTAAAATTCAAGTATAGATTTTGAGTATGGGGGTGTGGTACAGGAGAGCTATGGCCCTTGTGAAGTAATTTCTTAATTGCATTTCCTAATGTGTAAAACCAGGTAGGGTATCAAAAGAATTCCTGTAATGTATTTTTACACGGTTTCTAGAAGTACAAATTAAGTTTGTGTTTTGAAAAAAAAAGTACCTCTTTGTTAAGAGTGAAGGCCACAGTTGGTCGAGTCTGTCACATAAACTCCCTCCTGCATGTGCCTTTAAAACAGGTAGAAGATTAACATGAAAAAAGATAAATACAAATATCACTGCTAGTGCCTGTACTACAATGTATTTAATAACATCTTTATGAAAATACTCAATAGACTGTACACTGTGCTTCCTTAGTAAAATGATGGGTTTTTTCCCTTTAAAAGCCTTTAAACAGTAACTGTCATTCAGAACATCTACTTTTTTGTAGACTAAAGGATAACTAGATTATTCTTTATTGGCTACAAGTATTGTACTTCTTGGAGCTGCCTTTTTAAAAAATAAATGTAGAAGTTACACTACTAAGCAAATGCCGATTTCCCAAAGGAATTGTTTTGGTTTTGAACATACAATATAATATTACCACATAAAAAAACTTCATACAAATCTGATTTCATTAAAATTTAAGATGTACATTTACTGAAATTTTTCAGTACTCTAAAAATGGATAAATTCTGAAACGTACTATGCAACATTAAGTAACATTTTGAGAAGTGGTGTGTGGGCATTCCACTCTTTTTATTAATAAAATTCTTCACAACCTGAAGGAATTTATTTTCAAACAGTATGTTGATCAATATTTACACAACCCCTCCAAAAACCTGGCGTCCTGTTAGTCAAGATTTTCTCTAATATTCATAGAGGTGTCAATAGGATGGACAAGTAGACATGGAACTAAAACGTATCCTCAGAGGGAATTTGAGAAACATGGTGTTGAAAATGTTCAATGCTGCTTCACTTCAATTCCTGAATTTCTTAGAAGTTCTTTTCCACCGTTGCCTTTACCCCAGTTAGAAGCAAAAGTGTCCATGTTTTCTAAATCTTGCTCTATACTTGGCTTTGAAGTTTTCCTCATGACAACTGCAGAAAGAGTTGCACTGAAAAAGGTTTTAAGTTTACTTCCACTGTATTTGTGTGCACTTTGCCTCCGTGGGATGGCAATCCTCTTTGGGATGTGGCTGTATTTCCTCTTCTGGCATTTCCTGGAGCAGTGTTAGTGGTGGTGTCTTGAAGTAGAACGCCTTGTGAAGCAGGTGAGGTATAATCAAAAGCAAAAAGCAGGTACAATAGTGGATTTCAGAGACCTGTGTTTCTGACAGCATTTCCCATAATTTCACTGAATCTATTTAACTCACTCACCAGTGCAAACATTCTATCTATTTCAGCCTCAAAGTTTATCCAGTCCTCCAGGCTAACATTATAATTCTTTCTGAAGTCATACACATTTTCATTTAGTCTGTACATGGATTCAAGTTCTGGCCACTTTGTATCCTCACGGAGGTGCAGTGGTTGGGGGAGGTTAGCCCTCCCATCCTTCCCACAGTTGTCCTCTTTAAAATAAAACAGACATGAGTTAGTGTTTAACATTCTAGTAGAAAGTAGTTAGAAATAAATTTTTAATGCTTCCATGCAGGAAAAAACAACTGAAACACTATGGACTGCCTGTAAAAAACAGAGTAAGTGGTACATGACACAAACAATCCAAATGTGTTTGAAACTTTATCCTGTATGAAACTTGTAACTCATTAATTCTAGCTTTGTTTTGGTTCTATAGCCAGTCAAATATTACCACTCAATGACCAAATCCTCTTGGGCAAATTCCTTGAGAATGTTAGACCGTGCCTATCCAGGTACTTGCACAATTTGAGAGCACCTTATGATTTTTAATGATCTAAAGCCTCGACCTTTTTAAGGAGAGATTCAGATAAAGGAACTGGCATGGCAAAGGTAATGATTTTTCATGTCTTTAAGTTTGTATTTCACCTCTGGGCTCTGGCAAGTTGAGAACTGAGTATCATCTTCAATTTTAAAGGGCAGTTAAGTAAGCAAAAAGCAATCTTAGATTTTAGTATAATGTCAAAGAAAGAACGAAACATACAGAGCTGTCTTGTATTCTACTTTCTGTTCTAACTTGCTTTTTTAGCTCACAACACAAGGCTGTGGTTGGATAAATAGCAAGAAAATACATGATACTCTATACTCTTGAGAAATTACAATCTGCTTTGTTATTTCTGGATGGTGTGTGACACCACTAGGTAAATGCCACAAGTTTAAATTTAGACAAACCCAATATAATGGTCTCTGATTTTTAGTGGCAGTTGGCCACAACTGTTCTGTTCAACTAAGCATCCACACTTTTGCTCAAATTTAAAACTCTCTTGACCTTAATGCTCCTAGATTCCCAGAAAACATGCACAGCAGTAGTTGTCTGTAGTGATGGCAGTATCATATTTCTTGCATAATTTAGAGAACTTCCCACTTAAGTATTGCATGAGAATAGATGATGATGTTGGAAAAGGTGCTGCATGCACATAGAGAAGTGAAGCAAAGAAAGGTGAGTAAAAGCTAAATGCTTTCTGTGAACTGCTCCCAACTCACAGTGACTTGGCAGATGATGGTCTCTTCACATCTGGCCACTTTCGACGCTGAAACTGCCTAATTTTCAAGCAGCAAAAGGAGAAAAAAGTTAACCATCACCAAGAAAACCACCAGCACTACAGTCTGAAATCGAGGAGGGAGAAGCCTGAATTTTGACTACAAAGATTAGAACATGCTGTAACATTGAAACAGAAATAGCTCCAGTGTTTCAAAGTAACTGGGATGGAAAGAGCTTGGAAATGCCATTCCAGGCAGTCTGTCCGTGTGGTTCCCACTCCTAACTCCTTGAGCATGAAGGTAGTACTTAAGAATAATAATTTAACTTTTTAAAAAATGTACCTGTACTGCTCGTAGCTTCCATCCTTAAGTCCTAGATGAGAAAAAATTAACAATGTTACTAACCATTGCCTGCACCAGAATAAGGTATAAGGTATCAGGTAAGGCACAATGTTAGTATTAACAGATAAACATGTATTGCCATGACAAATATTTTCCTATGTGTTAACTAGAGCTTTTATGTTTGTATTTAATTCCTTATTCTGGGTAGAATAGGGTGTAAATTGGGATAGATATCTTTTACAGAAAAGTTTGTGTACTTTATTAGTGTATTTAAATGCCAAAACCTGTTGATTTCAACATGTACAGCTCTGTGTGATGCATGTACTGAGTAAGACCTGAGATAATATTTCAGGCTTTGGGGGGCTCAGGTAGATAACAGTATTTTTGGGGTGGGGGTCTTCAAGCTCTAAAGGCTATGATTTTTTTCAAAATACCATTACTTTTGTCAACTTAATAGTCCTAAGGGGTATAGAAATGCAATTTAAAAAGAAATACAAGTATCTGTGCCTTTTGGTTTGCCACCATCATTAACCATAAAAATAAAAAAATAGTCACAAGCAGTATAAAAAACAGATATATTGAGTAGACCCAGAGAAAATTTAAGGGATAGAAAAAAGATGAAATGTAGAACAAGAGTAAAAGCTGATTTTTGCTTTTTTGGAATTTAATCTTTTGGTAGCATAATGCAACCCTTCTTAGACTTGTTATTTCACAGCTACCTTGCAGTAACACAGGTAGGGGAAAACTGATCAGCTTAAGCACCAGTGTCCTTTAACTGAAAAAGTTATTTTTAAGCCAGTTTCCCACAAGGCTGCATGCACTGCATTGTCTTTAGAAACACTTCTAAAAACATTCCAAACTTCAGTTGGAGTGCTGAAACTCAAGTGCCAAACCAGTTGCCCAGAGGGGTTGTGCAGTCTCCATCCTTGGAGATTTTAAGATAGGACTGGGTGAAGCCCCCAGTAACCTGGTGTGACCTCAGAGCTGCCCCGGCGTTAGGCTGCGGTTTGGACTGATCAAGTCCAGCAGTCCCTTCCAACTTGAGTTGTCCTACAGGTCTGTGAACCTGGAAGTGGCCATTGGGGTATTCTTTCCCTCTTTCATCAGTTTTGTTTCTTCCTCACCTTCTTCCCCTGCATCTCGGCAATACCCGTCAACTATACTATTTAAGCACCGTTCTTCATTTAAGGAACACAACATAACTCAAATTGAACAAATACAAAACTGCAGCCATCTGCTGCAGCAGGACATAACTCATAAACAAACACTAAAATTCTTTTGACTGATAGAAGTTTCATAAGGGTAAGAAAGAGCCCCATTTCCTTTGGGGAGTGTTTGAGTGTAACAGGGGAAGCACTTACCCAGATCCATGTTCCTGGTTCTTGGGTTGCACTGTTTATACCCTTTGCAGCTTCTCAGTTCCATGAGCTGGACATGGAGTTGATTGAGAACGTCTCTGTCTAACGTATTCACTGCATTAATTAGCTGCAATAAACAGAGATTCTGGTTAGTAACTATTGATCTGTAGTTTGGTAACTTTCACATATGGAATCCATGTGGTTTATTTGTAACAGATGCCAAACCATACTGCACTTCCTGCACCAATGGCGTGCTACTTCAAATTATCATCAATAAGGAATGATGGTGTATTTCTAGAGCTGTTCTATGATCAGGTACCTGATATGGATCAGTATTAAGATCAAAATACTCCAAAAATCCAGTAGCAAATTCACAAAAGAGGAAGTTGTGAGTCTCGTTGATTGTCCTCAAACACCAGTATGTGTTGTTGTTGGCACTGGTACAGGCACAGAAAGGGCCCACTGCAAATTGAAAAGTGATAAAGACATAAGCTACATGCTGCTGGCTTTAGGCACTGTTAATTACTTTTTGTTTACGGTATTGCTTTATTCATAGACAGTTACTCTCTCACGCCTGGGCTCTGAAGCAGAGAATGCCTTCCAGCATCAGCTGCTTGTTCTTCACATGACGTGGCTAACTTAAACAACATCTTGGCTAGTTGCTTTCCCCATCTCTGGTTGGGAAACATTCCAGACAGTGAGATACCACACATAATTGTACAGTATCTGTAGGTTTTTTATGTGCAGTTGTTGTTGGGTTTAACTCCTTTGCCTTTTCTGCAAGGATAATGCCAACACTGAAACACAGATTACTTGGTCTGAGGAAGGCTGCGTCGCTTTGGCTACATAACTGATGCTATTGATAACTTGTAGTAACCCAGCATCCTGCCCAGCCTAGCCAGTGCACGCCTACCTCTTACTTAGTTTAAAGTGTCCTTACGTGTCCACAGGGGAGCAGTTTGCCAGTGCTGGTTGTCATGGGTGAAGCAGGTCAGACCAGGCATGCTGCATGTGTCATTATTTTTTATTCTCTTAAGCAGTTTGCGCAGTTTCTTCTTTCGTCTTTGCTCCCGAAGCAGCCAGAGCCTGTCTTTCTCCTGTAGGGCTTTCCTGCACACACGAAACATTAGGGTCATGCAGACTCTGTTATACTTGAGCACACCTAAAAAAAATGAAGCAGCTAATAAAATAAGCTGCCTTGAGGGAAAGAAAGAACCGGTATTTTTTAATTAAATGGCTTCTCTTCCAGATAGCTCTGGATGTCTCTGCAATTCAATGGCACTAAAAAAAAAAGCCAAAGGAGCTTTTGGCTTGCCTGAAGTTTGTGATGTGACATTTCCCCGACCAGGAACCTTATCTCAGAATTTACAAGCATTTCAACATGGGCTTAGTGCCTTGCCCAGGTGTGTCTGTGTGTTTATTCTTTTTAATACAGGACAAATGAAATACTCATTCTGCGTAGCTTGTCACTGGTGTGCATGGACCAAATATTAGTGTCTTTTGCACTTACTCTCTCAAAGGAACAGGCCTTCACTTACTTGAAAGGATGAAGACTAGATCCCTTGTGCCTCAGTTTGCTTTTGTGTTTTGAATGGTAACTGGAAAATAAAAACAGCATTGTTGATGAACAACAGAAAGACAATTGCACCATTCATACCACACTATCAGATTGGATTTGAAGCAGATTTAATGCAGTGTTGCTTCCTCTTTCAATTTATTCATGTGTGTGATGAATACAAAGCAGCCTTGCTCAGCTGGGTCAGGCACTGAGCCTTGTGCCTCTTTCTTCCCTTAGCTCATCCAAGCACTGTGACACTGGGTGCTCTAACACTGTATTGCAGTATGTAGCCATGCATTCCAGCTACAATTTTCAATTCTAGTTGTCACCTGGCTCTTGTTTCCCTACACAGGGCAGATAAAATCGATAGACTTTATTCAATTACAACATTTCTTCAATTCAATACTCACTAATTTATTCAGGTGATGACAAGCTCATACCACCTTTCTGTCATTTTCCTCCTGAATTAAAGAATTTAAATGCCAATTGTATGTTATAGGGTTGTTCTTTTTCCTGCTGTTGTTACCAGCTAGAGTTTCAGGAAAACTTTAACACAATGCAGGGAACTGCCTCAGCAACAGCAGTGTCTAATATAGTCTGAGATAGGGAGGGTGTAAGCAGTCATACACGTCCTAGCAGGGTGGCTCTGCTGGTCTGGCTCTGTGTCCAGAAATTCTTTAAGATTTTGCAGAAATTTCCTTTCTGTGTAGTTTGCAAAATTAAAAAAAGACAAAACAGCATTAGTCAGTAGTAGTATTTTCTGTCTTCAGCAAAGACAAACAAGTTCAGTACATGTTACATCAGAATTCAGTTATCAGACTAAAATTCCCTTTAAAACAAAACAACTATTTTTAAATTATTAATCCTACTTGGAGCTTTATTAAACATGATCCTTACAGTAAATTAACAAAATAAGATTATTAAAGGATGACCTATCTTCAGTTAATTTTTTTAATCTTGCAGACACTGGGTATTTCATTAACTAATCCTAAATGCTAAATTCTAATTCGATGCAATTCTGCAAACAAACATATGTAAATCAGATTATTAACTTCATTGATTTCAGTGGGATTATTAATCTTAATACTGCTATGTACAAATATAAGTGCTTCCTATATTGGCTCTGAAAAATGTAATACTCTTGACATTTACTATAAAACATTAATTATAAATATAACTTCAACTTTAAAGTATATATTCAATAAACTATTAACATCAGTTTTGAAAACAGTGCATTATATGACAGTATAAACTTTTGGGGGATTTGCCATTTAGAATTACACTGGTTTAATTTTCAACACTTTCTGCCATGGGTTCCATGGATGGGTTAGCATAACCCAAGCCCTGATGTTTTAGGGATCTGTTGCAGAATCCACAAGGACTCTGTACCTCATGTCTGTAAAGCAGGGTATGTTGCACCCCTGAGGCTCAAAAACTCATTGTGTGATACCAGTGAGACAGAGAAGTATCCATGCCCCTCTTGCAGAGGCTACGTAGTTAAAGCTGCTTCAGCCAGAGGTGACAAAACAGCTGCTTTGTGGTCTTGAGTCCATTCAAGGACAGCTCTTTCTGTGATACCCACCCTGCCACTGTGGCTGCTCTGCTGCTGACACCTGGCTCACAGCAGCCTCAGAGATTACTCTGTGATCAATATGATGAGGAGCAGCTGCTCCTGGTTTCTTTCTCAACAGCTTTCTCAGGGGCAAATTCTATTTAGGTTAACATTTGTTTTGGAAAGATTTTCTGCTGTGCTTATTTGCAGAGCAAAAGCTTGCCTGCTCCCCCTTCTTGCTTGAACCATCTTTCCATGGGCTGGTCCTACAGCCATTTGGCAAATATTCAGCTCTATGAGAAACCAACTATGCAGAGACTTTCATGCATAATCATTATTTAATATTGCCTGGTGCACTTAAAGTTCACTAATTATCTGCACTGGGGATGAAAATATCTTGTGCACTAAGTCAGTGGTGGTTACACAAATACAGTAACTGCACCAACTGTTAAATTCCTGCTTCTGCCACCTGGCATAGCTGCTGAATATTACAGTGATTGTGTTCTATGAGATAATGCATTCAGCCTTGAAAAAATTCAACCGGAAGAAATTCTGTCATCTCCCCACCCTATTACTCCATATGCTTTACACACTGTTTTTTTAAAAACAGATTTGTGTAACACTGCACCATATTGACAGTTTGCCCTTGTGGAAAGTTTTCAGAAAAAGCATGCTGCTTAAAATACTAATCTCTGGTATCTAATAGCAGCATCTTCAGCACAAGAGCGTAACTAACTGGTTTACAAGACATGTTACACATCCTGTTACATCATCACCTGACACAGAGGTAATTAAACCCCCGCCTGGCAGGTGGGCCTTGTACCTCTGCAGTGGTCCAGCTCCCCCAGAAGGTGTTACACGGGGTGAGTAGGCAACCACTTAACAAAATAGATCCTGATCTCTGCTGAAGACACACATCAGCTACACACTACAAATAATTACTCGGAAATATACAAGAAATACCTTATCTTGTTACAATCACACTCTTCAGGTCGTTTCTTCTTCAGATGACCTCTCACCTCCCTCAGGTTTTTTATTTTGTTTTGCAAAGTTTCAATCTAAAAAAACATAAAGATATAGGTTAAAAGAAATACAGCAGGATTTAGTCTTATTCTATCCTTCTCAAACCCATTCTACTGTCACCACCTCCCATGACTCCCACCACTAATGGGCATTTTCAGATTCTCCACCCTTCCAAAAGGAAACTCCAGCAGGAGGAAGCCTCGCTGGTACAGTTCACCTGCTCTGATTACTGGATGTGAAAGCAGTTCATGGTGCTGGGGGAAGGCAGACAATCACTGGTTGCACTGGGGATTTTCCTCTTGTGCTCTACAGCACATTTGCAAGGGGAGCAAGGTTACACGAAGGAAGATGAAGCCCTTAAATTTCAACCTGTTATGAACCTGAGAAGGGGACGGGGAGGGAGTGCTCTCAAGTCCCCTCTTCAGGGCTTCTGAAAATGAAAAGCAGCAAGGCTCTGTCATTCTGCATGGCAGTCTTTAGCAACATCTGGCCACACTGGATATGGATTAGCAGTTAATTGTGCCACCCACACAGTTTATCTGTTTTTTTTTTTTTTTTCCCCCCCAGTAAATGAAACTCATGCTTTAGTTCAGCCTAAGCTCACACACAGCGTGGCCCAGTTCCACTCCAATGGGTCTTGCAGGCTTCTACCTTGGTTCTTCACACAGCAGAAAATCCAAAGTAATCCAGTGTGGACAAAAATGTCACTGCAAAACTACCATTAGACATCAGTGACTCTAAGTTTAGTGGAAGCACATGGCTGCTGAAGCAAAGACAGGACAATGTTCAAGAAAAATACAAAGAATCCAGCCCTGTGAGCCTAAATCAGGAACACAACAGACGTAAGCTCTCATCTTCTTTGGCACTCCATACAGTTTTCTGAAGAAAAAAGAATTGGAAGAGTATGGTGATATTGAAATTGCCCTTTTTTAAACCCAGTCAGTTTTTCAGTATCTAGCTCTGCTATCTCCCTTGCTACGTGTCAATCTGTACCATAAAAGGGAGCCAACATGTTCTCACATAGGACTCTGCTGTGAATTCCTGTCATTTGGTAAGAGATTTCAGGACATCCTTTATGCTTCCCTTCGGCATTTGTTCCACCATTATCTGGTCCTTAGAAGACTGCCTCTTTCATATACAACATGTGTGAAGGGTATGAACTTATATGCTTCAATAATAGTGACAAAATATCAGATTAAGTTTTGTAGACAAATTATCTCCTGATTCTTCAGATACACAAGCCTAAGGAATATTAATTCAATTCCATACTGCAAGGGTTAAACACAAGTAAGCAAAACAAATAATTCTAGAAGCACAGAAACTAGTGAAGCTCAATTTTCCTTGGGCTTATGTCTGAGAGTTGAAAACCTGTTTTTGAGAGGTACATTGGGGTGCGGGGCCAGTAAGATGTGAAAATGGTCCAGATGAAATTTTTCCCAGGATGGGGACACTAAAGTTTCTCCTTTATCTCAAAACATTTCTCAGCTGTCCCTTCAGTTGGCAGTTTTTTCCTCCACTCAGCATCTTGTCTTCACAAATTTGTAATAACTTAATTATCTCTGAAATCAGCCAGCAAGTTCAAAGTGTTCCGGAGAGCGACAAATATACCCAGAGGCAGGCAGACAGACACAAACACAGTCAGCATGATCCCATCAGCCCACAGAAAACCATGTGAAAAACACACACTGAAAATGTGTGACTGGTAACATCACTGACCTCGTGGTCAATATGAAGTTTATGGTCCTTCCAAGCTTGCAGTGACCTGTACAGATCTGTGTCACACTGAACAGTATCATTCTCCAGGATATAGCACCTTGGCATGGGAAAGCAAACAACACTTATTATAGTGGATACATACATACAGAGCAACACAAACAGCTGGTTTTAATAACACAGCTCCAGGACAGATGAGAAGCCAGATTGGAAATGACATGCAGAATTCAAAAAAACAATGTTAATTCAAGAGAATATGAGTGTGCTATGAGCCAGGAAAGAAGTTTGAGTTGTTGCCATGGAAATTTTTCAGCAGAGAAATTAAAGGAGAATATTCCTATCAAGCAGAACCTGTTGACTGCTTAATTTCTGTATGTAAGTTGTGCTGCACAGATTTCTTGCTTATTCATTAGGCTGGCTACATAAATAATCTCTACTAACTAGCAAGCACTGAAAATGTTACTCAGAATCAATTTCCCAATGCATAATTAAGTAACACAGGGGTAGGGGCAAAGATAAAGCACTTCTTTATAAGATGTATTATTACACCATAAAGAAGCGGGGGGGGGGGGGG